CAGCTCCTCCACACCTACACCTTCTCAAGCACGCGAGGTCAGCAGCACAGAACTGTGCAGAACCCGGCATTGGAATGAGTACACAATTCAGAACCCAGCCTTGCTCCTCCTGGTAGATGAGGAACAAGTTAATCTCTTCTACCGCAGGTTCTTCCCCTGTGAAGCCTACCTCAGGGGGCTGTTGTGAGGATTAACAGTGATCATGAAGTTAAGACACTTAATAGGAAACTTGGCACGAAATAAGACTTAGTCTCCGCCTCAAGGAATTATGGGACTGGTAGAAGTCTCTGCTCCTTAACCCTATCCTGCGTTGGCTGCTTCCTCTGTATGCCAACCGTTCACAGTCTCCTTTACATGGATTTGTTGCTTTGTGTTAGGAGAGATGTGAGTTTCTTTTTCTCTACCACACAGAGCAGGGCATACACTGAATAGCTGGCTTTTTAAACAAACAATAACCAAGCAGAGTCTGACAGAGTAGAGTGTCTGGACGCACAGATTCACCCTGCTCCCTGCAAGGTGCCTGAAGCTGGAAGCAAAACTTCCTCCAACTCTCAGAGGAAGCGGTGGAGAATCAAGACAGACCTATCAACGCTATCTCCCTGCGAACAACTAAGCAGCTATCATCCTAGCACCACAGACATCGCCTAACATACCAGATTGGACAGAACTGGCGGGTACCATTACCAAAGGTCAGATGGAGCCTAGATGTCTCTCTAGCAGCTAGCCTGCTAGACGGTGAGCAGCTGTTAGAGGGTAGGAAGGGATGAAGATGGCTGAGTGAGAGCTGGTGTAAAAGGTGAGAGCTAGGAGGTCCCCAGGGGAGAAAAAAGACGTTCTTTTGTGTCCTCCAGAAAGACAGCTTACAGCTGCCACTGCCCAATTCACCTGTCCCTTCACCAATTCCTTCTCTCATAAGATGCATCCTGGGAGACACGGCTTTGCCCGATTTCTGATTTTTCTCCCAGAATCAGTGTCCTCCCAGGGGACACTGATGCTCGATTTGGGTTTCAAAGGATCACCACAGTCATTGTTGACCAAGAGATTTGGGAACATATGCAGGCATTAATTATTTTCTTGGTATTTTATTGTTGTTGTTTGGGGACAGTACTTATTCTAAGTGCTTGTCCCACCGAGTCAGTCATTGTTCAGAACCTGCACTGGCTCCCACTGAGATGATTCCACTTCGCATATGAAGACACTAAAGCCAGGCATGATACACACTTGTAATCTCAACATTTGGAAGTAGAGGCAGGAAGATCACTAGTTCAAGGCCAAGCTTGGATACTTGAGACCCTGTCTTGATAAATAAATAAGTGAATGAATAAATAAAAAAATAAAATTATCTAGTCTCAAGGATTTTGTTATAGCAACAGAAAACAGTAGGATAATCATCCACTTCCATCTTCAATGGACATTTTGGTCTTTTAAAATTCAGCTCTCTATAAAAAGCAGATTAGTGGGTATCTGAAGCTGGGGATCCAGATGGGACGTTGGGGGCTTGAGGGGGTGTGGCTGTGTGTATATGTGTGTACGTTGACAAAACATGTTTTAAAATTAACTGTGGGGATGTATATACACATTTATCAATATAGACATTGGACTAAATACTTTTTCCAGCCTGGCATTAATACATTAATACTTCTTCCCCCAGGGTCCTGTGCATGTTCTGCAAGAACTCTACTATTGAGCAAGACTCCCAGCTTCAAATCCAGCAAGATTTGAAGATTTACTGTGTGGTATCTAAATCTTATTTATTTATTTATTTATTATTTTTCAAGACAGAGTTTCTCTGTGGAACAGCCCTGGCTGTCCTGGAACTCACTCTGTAGAGCAGGCTGGCCTCAAACTCACAGAGATCCACCTGCCTCTGCCGCCCGGGTGCTGGGGTGTGTGTCACCACGCCCAGCTGTTCTAAATCATATTTCAATAATTCTGTTCTTAAAAAAAAAAAAACCTCAGCTCTAGACTCATCTCCGCCACCTCTGAGAATTTCTCATACTTGTGAATAAGAAGACTTTCACTTCAGAAAGAGGAAAGAGACTTGTTTTTTGAGGTCTCATCAGTGAACATCTATTGGTCACCACCAGGGGGCAGGTACTAGGCGGTGAAAGCAGAATGGACGAGTATGGACGAGGATGGATGAGTGTTCCTTGCTGTGCTGCATTGTTTGAGTTTAGCCCTGACTGTGTATTTGCCTCATTTAGCTCAGGGCTGGTCTCAGATCCACTATATAGTCAAGGATGATGCATCCGCAGCTCAGCCTGCCTTTTTCTAGTTATGCAGTTGGCCTTTCGTATCTCCAAGTTCTGTATCGACAGACCCAACCAATTAGAGATAGAAAGAATTCAGAAAAAAACGTGGCTATACTGAACATGTGTAGACTTTGTTTTAGACTAGATCTCACTACATAGTCCAGGCTGGCCTTGAATTACCAATCATCCCGCTCCAGCCTCCCTAATGCTTGGTCGGATTACTGGCGTGCCCCTCCACGCACCTACAAAACAGACTTTGTTTCCTATCCTTGTTCTGTAAATAGTACAGTAAAGCCATTCTTTAGACAGCATTTACATAGCGTTAGGTATTAGAAGGTAGCTAGACAGGATTTAAAGTGTATGGGAAAACAGGCTGTCAAAATGGATCGGTGGGAAAAGACAGTTCCCACTAAGTCTGGAGACCTGAGTTCAGTTCCTGGAATCCTCCTGGCATGAGGAGAGAACCAATTTCTGAAGGTTATCCTATGACCCCCACATGTACGTGAATACATATAAAACACACACACAGTGAAAAGTTACATCTATGGGAAAATATGTATGAGTTATATGCAACTACTATGCCACTTTATATAAGAAATTTGGTGACTACAAAAAGATGTGGAACCAACCTCCATGGATACCAAAGGATAAGAAGATATACATTTTCTTCCAACTCCATAAGCCAGAACATAAAAGCAAACTGTTTTAAGTTATACCTAGGAGGTAAAACAACCTTCCTATTTTTAAGGCTATCCTTCCTACTTCAATAAAAAAAATTAATATTCTACCATACCCTTAAATAACTCAAAACCAGAACCATTTTCCTTACATTTACTCAGCTCCACCTGCCTATGTTAGCCAGCAATGAATGACTCTCTCCTCTGTGTTTTGTCTTCAGTAGATGTGGCAAAATGTCAATGACTCTTTTTGGGTCTCTCACATTTGAGGGGAAAAGTACCTGAGTCACAACAAGATAGATGGTCTAGTTTGAGATTAGCCCACATCAATCCTCAATTCCCTCTACTCTGTGGAAAAGGCAAACGGGTGGAATACCGGAAAAGAAAGACCTGTTGCCCCCAAGGCCCATAACTGGGAGACCCTGTACAGTCATTGCAAACAGGAGAGACATTTCATGGTGAATCAATGGGAGATTCAGATTCAGAAGCCACCAAGATTAAGAAGGGTCATCTCCTGCATAACCCAACCTTAGCCTTCCGCACCAAGAAGGCACATCACACACCCGCATTTCTTTTGATTTTTACTGTATGGTTCCCTTAGTCCATCTTAAGCACCTGACCTCATATGTGTCTCACTTTTTTCCCTTTCCTACCTGCACTTGTCATGGTTTGAGCCTCTCCCTCCCAGGCCTTCTCCTACATCTCCAAGCTTCTCTTTTCTTGTACAACCACTATAGGTGATACAGTATAAATCTTCTGGTGGCTCCATCTCTTCAATGTGAATGAAACTTACATGTCCCAACTTCTTTTTGTTATATGATGTGTTGGTTTATTTTTGTTTTGTTTCATTTAGGTTTGGGTAACCTGTGCATATCTCAGACTCCAAGGATCCTCCTGCTTCTACTTCTCAAATTCTAAAATTACAAGCAGGTGCAACAAAGCTTTATTGTTTGTTTGTCTGTCTGTCTGTTTGTTTGTTTGTTTTGGAGGTGCTGGAGGTGCCTGTGTGTTAGGCACATTTTTTTTTTTTTTGTATTAGTGTCCTACCGTGCTTAGCTTCCACATCCCTTCACATCCTGGAAACCCTGCTCACCATCACCACCACTACTAACTGGTGCCACACTGGAGCCCTTGAGACCCACTCCATAAACGCTTCCTAAGTGAAAACAAACGAAAGTGAACAAATAGGGTAAATGATCCCCATTAAAGTGGTTGATAATTTAGTTACCACCACCACCAGCCACAACAACAATGCCCCCCACCCAAAAGTACAAACACCTGCCAACAGTCATTGCCCCTGAACCCAAAAGCCAATGGGGAGTGGGGCATGGTATCCTTGAGCAGTGGGGACTCCATGCCGCCATGGACAACTTCCTAAAGGAGTACCCCACCAAGGTTTGTGTCATTACCCTGCGAGCATCACACCAGTTCTTGGATGTGGACAGCAAACACCTACTTAGCAAAACTGGAGCGGGCATGGTGATGGAGAGATGCACCTCTGACGTGGTAGAATATGTGGTAATACTTAGGCATGTAGACCTGTATGGCATCTACCTCGGCATCTTAGTGTAAGGAAAATGGAAAAAAAAAAAAAAAAAGTGAAATGGAATTTGTAAATCCACGTGGAGGCGCCACTTAAACTTCTCTCACTGGCCTTCCGCCATCTCCACCTGTACAGTGGAATCACAGCACTATCTACCTTAGAGTTTCCTTGAGGATGGAATTTGGAGACAGGGAGAAGCACTCACTACAGTAGTCTGCACACAGCAGGGGCTCAACAATTACTAACTGACACCATTTTATTGTCTTTTTTTTTTTTTTTTTTCTGTGAGGATCAAGAGATGAAACGCAGCCAACCTATCAAGTGATATAAAGTCCCTAGTCCTAGGCTGTGGAGACAAATCCTCTCTAGCCCTGGTGCCCTGGCAGCTCCTGAAGACGCCTTGGTGACGCGAGAAGCTCCAGCTTTGGTCCCGGAAGTTTCCACCAGAAAGCCCTGGGGCCCTGGACGGCTCTGGGGAGGGGCGGGAGGTGCAGGGGAAGAGACTGCTGGAGAAAAACGGGGACCTACCTGCTCTCACTGCACTCCTTCCGCTCCCTCACCCTCAGCCACTTGCGGAGCAGGAAGCGCTTTCGGCGCGGGGACGCGCTGGGTGTGGAGCAGTTGGACCACGGGGTGTCCTCGTCGCTGGAGGGCGTAATCTCAATGGACGGCAGCTGCAGGAACTCCTTGCCCGGGGCCAGGACGCCGGGTAGGTCTGGGGCTACCAGCCCAGCCTCCAGGCTCTGCTCTTGCACATTCTTCATCCGGCGCATCTTAAAGCGCCGGCGGCGGAGCGTGGGGGTGGACGAGCTGGACCACACCGCGCTGCCCTCGGGCGCGCCCTGCGGCTCCGGCACCTGCAGGGCGGGCAGCTGCAGGTTCTCCATCATGTTGGCCGCCGGCATCGGGGTCCCTGGCCGCTGCCCGGTGCCCTCCACCTGCAGCCTGGCTCGCGGCTCCCCCTCGCGGCTCCCCACCCCGGGGCCGGTGGCACTATCCGCTCTCACGTTCAGCGAGCAGCTCGAGCCTGCCAGTAGATCAAGTTCCTTTTCCTGGAGCGCCGCGAGGAGGGGACTGGTAGGGACGCCGCCTCCTGCGGTCGAGAACTTTTCGGAGCGCGCTTCCTCGCACAGTCCGCCGCGGGAGAGGCGACCCCGGACGTAGGGACAGTCGCCTGCCAAGCCTCGCTACCCGGCTTCCCTCTTGGGGCTCCCCTCGCTCTCGCGCCCGCCGCGTGTTTGTCTTCCGCTGCGCTCGCTGGCTCTGCCGGCGTCTCTGCCTTAGCGGGACTCGGGCGGCCCCGGGCCCCTAGGGGCTGCACAGCAAACTCTCAGTGGTTTGCGTTCAGCAGACTGCGTTGGAGAGCCGGCTAGGCGCTGCAGGAGCGTGGAGAGCTGGAAGAAGAGGCAGTGGTAGGAGCGAGAGGAAAGAGGAAAGAGAGAGAGAGAGAGCAAGGGAGACACTAGATAAAAGCAAAAAAGGTGGAGGAGGTGGAGCTGGGGGTTGAGGAGGGAGTGGGTTGCTCTCCTGAAAGGACACGCACAGGCAGCGACAGCCGTGTAACTGTACACGGAATCCCTTGGGGAGGGACTCTACCTCCGAGTCAAGGCTGCTCCAATCAGCCTAATGAAATAGGAGCACGATCCAAACTTTCTCAGGGCAATGATTGGCCCAGCAGTTCTGGTTAGTGAACTCCCTGCTTTTTCCCGGGGGGGGGGGGGGAAATCAATGGATTCAGCCCACACTCTCAGACCACCCAAGATACAGGATTGAGAGAAAGCTAGGGGACTTTTCAGCCGAGTCTCTCTCTCTTCTCCTAAGAAACGTGTATTCTTTGAGTTGCTTGGAGTGCTGACCGGGAAGACTGGGCACAGTCAGAAGGAGAAGGGGCGATTCCTGGAAGCTGCTTCCAAAATGGCAAGCTGGGAGACACTAAACATGACACAAAGGAGAGACAGACGGTTGGATGGAAAGACACAGGACACACAGGACCACTGAGGAAAAGAGTCTGCCCCTGTACATGGTGTGTGACCCTGCCAAAACCATAGCCCCATTCTAAGCAAAGCATGAAAGGAATGGAGGGTGAGTGAAGGAAGTCAGGGCACTCGGAAACCCGAGTCAAGTGCATCCCTGGACATTCTGAGACTGTCTGGTGCTCCTTCAGTCTGCTTGGAGCATGGGCTCTGTCACAAAATCTACTGTGGCCCTAGGCCTCTGAAATGAGAAGTAATCCCTCTAGTATATCTGTGTGCTACACCCAGAGGCAGGTGTACCCTAAGACGTGGGAGGTAGAGGTAGAAGTGAGTTGCTCTGGGAAGACATTCTTTGTTGGACTGAGCACCAACCTGCTGGGGTACAGGCTTAACACTTAATGACCCCCACCCCCAAGCAAGGAGTTTGCCTCTTCATTGGCAGATAGATCATAAGGAACAACAAAGACCCCACTACAAGGTTTCCAGTTTGCCCCATTCTCTTAGCTGCCATTTGTTAGTCCAGTTTCCCTTTGGGAGAATAAAAATCACATCCCTAAAGATCACAGAATTCACTGCAAAGTAGAATACATCCCTACAGGTCAGTGAGACATCTGAGGCAACAGCTGGCCACGTGTCAGATCATCATGTCCTGAAATGACATATGGGGGGAGCTTGAGACATCCTGACATTACACAATCTCCTTGAGGCTATGAGAAATAGGAAGTGCATCTGGCTGAATAGCCGAGGCCAGGTCCACCCGTAAGTGATTCCGGAGTATCAGTCCCTTTTCTGACCCTTCACATCCGGCTGCTGGCTTGCATGGGCATCATTTGGTATCACTCTATTTTAACTCCTGCTCAGGACAGAAAAAGGAGAAAGCCTTTTCCATCAGGTGTCAGACCTGGCAGAGAGCAGGCAAGCTCTTCCGGCTCAGAGCACGAGCCTGGACTGTGACCCTTTGGAATCAACCAAGGATCTACATAGTTTGTTGGCTGTCTTCTCCATGGAGAAACACTTTGTAGATGATCCGACAGCTTCCCAACTCAAAGAACCTGCCTGTTTGAGCTGATAAACAAGAACTTAGTCTCTGTGCTTAAGGGGAAGCAGGGCACTACCATTCATTTGGAGGCCAAAAAATTCGACAGATAATTTGAAGAAAGAAAGGGTACAACACACACACACACACACACACACACACACACACACACACACACACACACTTGTCACAGGCCTTCTGAATTTGAATGCATAGCTCTCAAAATGAAAAAAAGTCACCAACTTCTTCCTCTCATGCACTTCAGCAAGGTATCCCACAAGAGTCTGGACCTCAAATACCCTGAGATTTCATTTAAGCTTTGGGCACAGCAGTGGTTGAGAATGACTGCTTTCGTTTCACTTGGCCCAAGAGAAAACCTTTGCCAGACTAAATCCAAAATTTCTCACTTGCAAAGAAGCAGATACCCAAAGCATCCCTTGTCCCTGACCTTGTCCTCCACCCACTTCCATCTGCAGCCTCTTCTTTTCTTAAAGCTTTATCCTTTTCACCCATCAAATCCCTAGTCAAAATTAGGAGTTCACATTCATCCTCATGTACAAAGTGGGTTTGAGGCCAGCCTCAGCTAGAAGGAACTTATCACAAAACAAAACAAACAAACTAACAACAACAACAAAAAAAATCAGACCCCACACCCCCAGCCACTGCAACTGTCTCTGTTTACTTTGGGACACAGATAGTTGCAACTGTCAGTAGTTATTCCCTCTAAGCTCCCTAGAAAGAGCCAAATATTTCTTCCTTTGAACCTTTCCAATATATTTCTTGTTTGTATGTGACCTTTAGACTCTGTAAAAGGGTTCTCATACATCACAGTGCATCTTCCTAGTGACCTTAGGACTGAGGTAACAGAAGTTACTATCCTCTTCTTGCATTAATGAAAGCAGCGCAGGCTACAGAAACCTGTCCAAGGACTCCCATGAACGACAGTGACTAATGTAACAAGGCCAGAATCAGGCCTTTGGAAACCAATGTAGAGGTCAGCAAAATCATAGAATGGGCAGCAACTCAAGAAAGCAGTGCCCTGTTAGTTCCAGACTGTAGCTGTTCAGTTCCAACAGTGTTTTACAAGCAGGCAAGAAGAAGCACAAATCTGGGGGTGGGGGTGCGGGGAAGGCAGTTTCCCAAAGCAGCTGATGGAGGGTGTCATGGCCAAAAAGTACCCACAATTCCCTTTCATACTTGCACCCTCTCTCCCCACATTTCCTCTCTCTCCTATTGGCTCTAAACACTGCCTCAGATCTCTGGGAAACTGACCTCATCTGTGTGTGGGGGGTGGGGAGGCAGTTGTTGCAGACAGGTGGTGTCCAGAATGTCCCAACTCCCAACCTCCAACCCCACATCTAGGCCTCCAACTTTAAATGAATGGCTCTCATATTACCAAGTGACTGTTGTTTATTCTCAGCTGTACAGGCTCTCCTTTCCTGTCGACACAAGACACCCAGCACCTGTCTACGACTTCTGGAGACCTGTAATAGCATAGTCTATTATCCAGAAAACTTAACTAACAGTTTTGAGGCTAGATGTCTCCTGAGTACACACTTAGATGAGCATGTCAGGAAAAGGTGCAGTCAGGCACCAACCCAATGGACAGAGACTGTTCCACACAGCATCCTCCGAAGCGCACGGGCAAGAGCAAACGAGGAAAACTCGAACGGAGTTTGTGGCTTGAAGGAAAGCTGGAGATGGGGACAGAAATGTAGCGGATGCTGCGACAGCAGTGGGCAGATGTTCCCCTCTACTCTCTTGTTTTATGACTGAGTAGTTTGTGCAAAGGGCAGTGTGGGGACTCGTGTTCAATGACAAGCATTTACCCAAGGTTAAGGCCGGTTAACAACTGGCATGCAGGGCCAAGCCTAGTGGCTTTCTCCTCAGACCTTTAAAAGGTAACTGGAGCCTAGTTAGGGCAGTGGAAGAAAAGAGATTATCTTTTAAAGGCCCATATCTATCCTACCAGTGTGAGGATCTAAGACTCAGGTTTTCCACTTTAAAACAAAGGCAATTTGGCAGGCACTTGGCTCATTCCTGTAATCTCAGCACTGGGAAAGCTGAGACAGGAGGATTCAACATTCAGGTCCAGTCTGAGCTAAATAGCAAGACCCTATCTCAAGAATTATTAATTAATTAATTGAAATAAGTTGGCTTATTCCCCAAACACAAATTGGTCTGAAATGACTGTCCTTGGCTGCAGGCATTTTGATCGCTGACCTTCCTGTGGTCTGCAAACTGCTTCACCACCTTGTACAGAAAACTAGAAACATATGGAGAGAGTCACTTAAATCGGCCTTTCCCATGTATCTTCTATTTTCTGAATTTCCCTTTTACACCCTGCACCCTTTAGAGGAGCTCACCACTCAGGACCGTAAGAAGAGAGCTGATGGGATGGCCCAGTGTGTAAAGTTGCAGGTCAGCAGACCTGACCACCGGCATTCTATCCCTGAGACCTACATGGTAGGAGAGAACAGACTCCTGCAAGCTGTCTTCTGACATCCATGTGCACAAAAAGTATGCAAGCACTCGCACACATACAAGCAAATAAACAATTTCTGTTTGTTTGGGGTTTTTGTTTTTGTTTTTTCGAGACAAGGTTTCTCTGTGTAGCTTTGGTGATGTCCCGAATCTCGCTCTGTAGACCAAGCTGGCCTCGAACTCAAGAGATCCCCCTGGCTCTGCCTCCCAAATGCTGGGATTAAAGGCGTGTGCCACCACTGCCCGGCTATTTTTTTTTTAAGTTAGAAAGAACCATGCTAAATTTGTATGTCTGGGGAAGCAGGGTAGAGTAGGAAACCAGTTCTTGCTAAACATAATCTAAATAAACCACAACTGACCAGCCACCACATCCGACTCTCCTGAGGAGAAAGAAGAAGGTGCTTGCAAACCTTGCTGGAGAGTCTCTTCCTGGGAACAGAGCCTGGAGAGTGCTCTCAGCCTTGGGCAATGCACAAATTTGGCAGAGGCTTGCTTCTATCAGCCTTCACAGCAGCTAGGGTGATCTCTAACGTCACCTGGTCATCCTAGGAGAAGGGCAGCCACGAGATAAGCCCTCTGGTTCCATAGCTCTTCAGCGAACATTTTGCATAACATTTGGCTGCCCTTCTCGGTGACGCCGTAATATGAAAGTACAGGCAAATGCCGTCCCCTCTTGTCTCTTTAGTCTTGCAAGGCCAATCTTTGTGCAAACCAGGGCTGGCAACAACTTCCTAAGGTCACCCCATCTTACTCTTGGCTGGTCATGCCATGCTCTAGGTAATCCAGCTGCATTCCTCAGAAGCAGCACAGAACATCCTCTCTGGAGCACTGATTACAATCATGCTAGTGGAGCCCCAGGTCCCTTTCTGTCCCCCACTATCAGATTGGGTGAGGCCAATTCCCATCT